CAGTAATCAGTTAGCGGCAATAAAAATATTGGCCATAAATACAAACTCCTTACAGCACAATGTAAGAAGATTTGAATTACATTGCAGGATAGAGCAACATAAACCAGACATTGTTCTATTGTCAGAAACAAAATTAACAAACAAACATTATATCTTCTCGCAGACACATAAAATTATCCGCTCAGACCGACCAAATTCCAAGCAAGGAGGAGGAACGGCAATCATGGTTAAAAACAACATCAGCCATCAAATCATTAGGTACCCAGCGTCTTCCAAAAATGAACTTCTTGAATACACTATAATACAACTCTTTCCAGAAACTCAGTCTAACTACAAAATATTCATTATCAGTGTATACGCAACTAACTCCAACAAGAAAGTCTTCATTAACGAACTGAACGACCTTCTACAACGCCTTAAATTAGACAATCCGGAACATTTCTTTGTTTTAGGTGGAGATCTTAATGCACGAAGGACTGAATGGGGTGATTATCATGACAACCAAAGAGGAAAATACCTCCGCAAATGGGAAGCAGAAACACTACTGGGATACAATGCCAAAATATACGTCACAAACGAGCCATCTTTCATTCCAGCAAACACTTACCTGGACCTTTGCATCTCTAATCTGACAATCTCTGACCTCACAGCTAGCAACAAAATCAACACAGTCGACTACGATAGTGATCAGTGATCACTGATCACAGAGCCCTACTCTTCACGACTATACTGCGAAGCAATATAAAACAAGAGTATGGCTCCCAAAAGATTATCCGCAACATACGAGCAATAAAATGGAGAAAATTCGAAAAAAGATTCAACGCCGAATACACCCAAGACCTGCCAGACAATAGAAACCTATCAATAGAAGAATTAGACCAAAGTATCACCAACATTACATCCACACTAATCTTTACTATGAATAAAACAGCTCCCACCATAAAAAAAAAGAGGCAATTCTCAAATACCTCAACACAAGAATTAAAACGCTTCAAAAAAACAAGAGTAAATCAATCAAACTCCTCCACGCAGCACAAAACTCAGACATTCCAAACAAAAAAGAAACAATCACCCGCCTCAAATCAACGATTAACTTAGTCAAGACTGAGCTCAGGAAAGAATTCAACAAGTCATCAGAAAGATATTGGACTGGTCAACTGAAACAGATTAATCATAGGGACCCAACTGCTTTCTTCCCAAAGATAAACAGGCTACTCAGAAAAAAAAGGCTCATAGCAATTGAGGATCAACTCATCAAAGCTGCAGATCTAGCCAGCCTATCCGGAGCCATTGACGTCAACAAAGCGATCCGTATTGATGAGGAATACCTGATCAACGATCCCATTGACAAACTCAATGTCATTGGGGAGTTTTATCAAACTATCAATGCACCACGTTACCTTAACACCAATACTAGACTAAAAGAAATAGTAGACGAGAAAGCAGAAAAAGCAAAGGAAACACTTACATCTAGAAGGACGGAGAGTTCCACGTTCGTAGCCTTCTCTGATAGTCCAGTCGGCCTGGAAATAAAAAGGGGTTTGTTGGCAACTTTTCGACAAAATGGTCCGATTTTGGATTTTTTTTTTTTAAAATACTCAGAAAAATATTCTAAACATTTGTGTGTATGTCGGAAGTGTTGCTTTTTTTTTGTTTAAAAAATAGCGTTTTAGCGTCGAGCTTTAAATTAAAATATCTCGGAAACTACGCAAAAGTAGTCGAGACATGCTGCGTATGAAATTTAGAAAATTTAATAAGGAAAAAAATGAGCTAAGCCCGATGTCTGTACGACCAATAGTTTACGAGATATTAATTTTTTAATTAAAAAAAGCGCGGTTCCGCTCGAGCGCTTATAAACAAATAGCTGTAACTCCGCGAAAAATCGATCGATTTACTTTTTTTTTTTTTAATTAAAGCTTTTGTTGTCTTTTATAAGCAAAAAATTCAGCTAAGCTCAAAAAAATTTTTTTGAATTTATATGAATAACTTTCATTTTTTTGAATTTTTGCATTAAAAAATAGTTAAAATAAAAATTAAATTATTTTTTTTGCATAAAAATGTTTTTCCGGCAACAAAAAATCGATACGAAAAAAAAAAATTTTTTTTT